AAGTTTCCTTCCATGTCTCCTCTTGGATCCAGGGACTAACTTTAGCTTGATATATTCAATATTTTCAGTACACGAACTTGGACATATAATTAAATATTAAAAAAAAACAACAACCCACTCACCTTAGCTGGTTTGGTGCAGTGGATAGAGCATTGGATTGTGGACTGAATTAGTCTGACATGTGATTCAGGTCAAGGGCACTTACCTGGGATGCTGGCTCCTCCCAGGCCAGCGTCCTTGTTAGGGTCCATGCAGAAGGCAACCAATTGATGTGCCCTCTCACATAGATATTTCTCTCTGTCTTTTTCTTTCTTTTCCAATGTCCCTAAAAGTCAATACAAAAATATCCCCATTTGAGGATTATAAAAACAAATAAAACAAAAATAGCACCTTGAATTATTACTAGTCACTTTAGATATCAAGAAAAATAGATAACTATAATTCACAAGCACTAACTAATATTAGAAGGACAGATTACCCTTTTTAAACTGAAAGATTATTTACATCCTATATGCAAATACCACCAATAACCTTCATAACTCTCCAAGCACAGATATGCCTCGCCCCCTAATGTTCCTTTCAGTAACCTCCAGGTGGTCTGGCTATCCTCTAGTGGGGGTGGCAGAACCCTAAGTATAGATGAGGTGAGTGGCACTTGACAATACCGACATTCTGGACATAAATCAGGTCACTGCAAGCCAAGACTCTGACAGCTTGCTTCTTCCCTGGCTCCTCCATTCTGCAGCAACCAGAAAGGACTATGGATTCTCAACCACAGGAGAGCTGCTGTGTTTACATGCATATGTTTGTATGTGTGGAGGGGACATGCTTAGATAGACAAGCTCAAATTCTCTGCACATCATCCTCACACTTACTAGGCTTTGTTTCACTTTTTAATGTTTTAATAAAAACAAAAATAGAACCCATAGATAGAAAGAAAAATATTTAGAATACATACAGTTCAAAAAGAATTTGCATCCAAAGAACTCTTACAATTCAAAAGAAGACCCAACATCCAATGATCCTTGTACAATTTAAAGGACTTGAGTAGTTACTTCACTAAAGATGACATATGGATGGCTACTAAGGACATTGCCTTATCCTATTTGTACTTCTATATCAAAAAGACTGTTGGATGCATGGTTTACAACATCAATATATTTCTCACAGTTCTGTGGGCTGAGAAGTCCAATGTCAAGATGCTGGCTATACTGTTTTATACACAGCTGTCTTCTCCTTCAGTCTTTACCAATTAGGCGAGGTGAGGGAGCTTTCTGGAGTCTGCTTTAGGGCACTAATCCTATTCCTGAGGGCTCCAGCCTGATAAGATAATCATCTCCCAAAGGCCTTTTAAGACTATGAATAGTTTTAGGTAGTAGGTGTAGAGTAAAAAATGAGATTGTGATTTACTGAGATTCTAAATCCCTTGCAGCTGCCTAGGTTAAAGTATCTTACATAAACTCAAGGTCACTATATGAAGGAATAAAAAGTTGAGACATATCTTCTTACAAAGACTTTTATACATTGTTCATATGACAGTTTATATTTTCTTTATGCAAATATTCAGCCCCACAATATGGAAGCAGTTATATGTAAGCTATGTAGATATGAAAATATTTTAGTTTATATTGCCTATAATGGTAATTTGTTTTCAGGGTGGACTGTCTCTTCTTTATTGATTAAAACATCTTAGAATAGTCCTTGTCACACCCACACACGTTTAAAATCTAACTTCTAAATTACATATACATGTATATGCACACACTTTTTTAAGTTCTTTAATCCTATTTATGGTATTGGTTTTTTTGGGGACTTTGACCATGCTCATACCATATTATGTGTTTCAATTGATGAATATAGATATTTCCATTTGCAGGACTCATAGTTCTTTCTTTCGCTTCTTTCAATAGTGTTTAATAGTTTATACACACAGAATTACATGACATTTCTTAGATTTATTTTCTTGAATTTCAATTTCTGATCCTATAAAATAGACTTTAAATTTCCTTTCCTATTTTTTTTTATTATTTAGAGGAAATTCACTGATCTCATTTCTTCCTAACTTCATGAACTATAGATTTTCAGAAAAATTTCTAATCATGCAATCATGTTGAACTGATATTATTAATTATGATATCTTTCTTTCCTCTTTTATCTTAGAAGATTTCTTCTTTCTTCTATCTAATCACATTGAATAGTAATCAGTCATAGTGCTGAAAATACAGTATGTGGTAACAGCAGATATTATATTGTTGTTCTTTTAATATATTTTCATTGATTTCAGGAAAGAATGGAGAGAGAGATAGAGACATCCATGATGCGAGGGGATGGATCATTGGTGTTCTGCCTTTTGCACACTGCCCAGTATGATTGGAACACACAACCCAGGCATGTGTCCTGACAGGGAATGAACCTATGACCTCTTGATTCTGGGGCCAATGCTAAGTGGCTAAGCAACATCAGAAGGGTCAGTCCAATATTTTAGAACTTGCCCAAGGCAGAGAATAGCTATTTTCTGCTTATTGCCTGGCTCAAGTTAGACAAAGCATGGACTCCAGCCTCTTAAATCTGTTTTGGTCATTGTTTTCCCCTGGTCTTTTTTGGGGGAAAGATGAGGGGGAAGGATTCTCAAGTGCAGTCATCTGCTCTTTGTTTTCTCCTTCAGTTGTACACTTTCGATCCCTCTTCCTTGTTTGAGCTCTTATGAATTCTTTATTTCTCTGCATTTATCGTTTACAGTAGCCTATAATCTGAAGATTCTAGCAGTTTTGCCTTCCCTTGAAGATCAGGTTTGGTGGAGGGGAATAGAGAAGTTATTATGGTACCTAGCAAAACTTGGTCATAATGACTTAGTTACTATATTTATTTAATTTGATAAATATATTTTTTATTGATTTCAGAGACAGGAAGAGAAGACAAAGAGAGAGGGTAACATCAGTGTGGACAGATCATGATTGATTGGCTGCCTCCTACATGCCCCTTAAGGGAATCTAGCCTGGAATTCTGGCAAGTACTCTGTCCAGAATTCAAACCGAGTCTATCTGGTTCCTGGGTGGAGACTCAATCATTCAACAACAGCCAGACTAGTTGCTATATTCATTATTTGAAGTAGGAATGAAATTTCAGGGCCTGGATTATAGAATGTTAAAATGCTGTGTCACAGAATCACAAATCTAGGAATTAATAGTGCAAGTGAATGTTGGACTCAGTCCTGTAAGGGACAGTACCACATGAGGGCACACTGTCCACAGAATTTATTGACTTTTTTGGGAATATGAAACTTCTGCTATATGCTTACTTGGGTGAGTAGCAACATGTTGAGTAATGTGTGAGAAAATTTTCCGAGAATTAATTAATTTTGGAATTTTATGGGTTAATAACCTTCCGTTTGTTGGCTTATAATCCCATACACTGAGTGAGAGGGTAGCAGTTTCATCTCTTGTAGGATATGTGGTCTCTGAAGACTTTTACATTTGTTTTTCCATAATTTATAAAAGTTGAGTTACTTAGATTTTCACTTTTTAAACTTCCAGCAATGTTAATTACTTTCATAGATTTTTAAAAACAGGACTTAAATTCCCAAACATTTGATAATGTGGGAAGTAATTCATGTGGAGGTAGCATCAGTAACTTGTTCACTTGTGATGGGTTTCAACAAAAAACAGGTACCATGGCACAACTGTTAATAAAAATTCTCTAGCAGTGTTCCACAAACTTTTGACATATATGTACCCTTTCTATAATTTCATAACACTGAGTACCGTCGTACTCATGAGAATATAGAATTAGGCGCAGCTAAACACCATGCAGTGGATATCCCCACCAAACTCTGGTGCAACGTGTACCTGCACCAAACTCTTCCCTTCCCCTGGGGGTACACTTACCACACTTTGGGAAACACTGTTCTACAGCAACTGAAAGATAGTGACTCTAGTTTGTACTGTGTTGGATATTAAAAAGTTTCATGTATCTTACAGCAAAACACATTTACATTTTGTTAGGCTGTCAGCCCCAAGGCATTGTTTGCTGTGTTGTAACTTTAATCAAATTATCAGACCACAACCTGCATAATCCATTCAAAGTGGTCACTTCCTTTTGTGAATTTAAGCCAATCTCAGCAAGTGGGTGTGGCCTGAGGTAGACAGTTATATAAAAGCCCAATCTGTACAGAGCCCACTTCACTTCTTCAAGGTAGACTGACTGAAGTTGGAGTTGCCTGGTGACTGAAGAGAATTCCTACGGATCCGGCTATTGACAAAACTTACAGACTTGGGAGAACTCAGAGTACACTCTGGTGAGTATGATATTTAGAATGAATTTTTATTTTTTTAGTAAATATCTCAAAAAATGCATACTTTATCTTATTAGAAATATTTCCAATTTAACTTCCTGGGATCTTTTCTAAGTAGAGAAGTAGATTTCTTAGTTCACTGAAATGACATGAATATTTGAAATAACTGGAATATTCTAAGAAATGCCTGGAACTCACAAGAAACTCAATACATATTTTTAAATGAATAAGAAATATTGTTGAGCATCTGTCTGGTATGATAGCATTTATGTTTTATTTATTTTATTCAATTTCAGAGAGGAAGAGAGACTTAGAAACATCAATGAAGACAGAGAATCACTGAATTGCTACCTCCTAAAAGCCCCACATTGGGGATTAAGCCAGCAAATTGGTGATATGCTATGAGCTGAAATGGAACCCACTCCTGCTTGAAAACTGGACACTTAACCACTGAGCCAGGCCAGCCAAGCAGCATTTATGTTTCAGATGTATCTTTCAGACAGTTGTTATTAGCAACGAAGTCTGGATGTTGTAGAGAGTGTGAAGCTAATGCAGAAGTAAGTTTACCAACAGCTGTAGGCCCAGCTCTGAGAGATTTCCTGTTAGACCAGACAACTTTATCTTCCCACTACTGACTTAGCCTGGCTGAGAAGAGAACAGAAATATTTTCCTCGGACTTTGAAAATCTTGTTTAACCTTCGAACTTGCAATGTCAAGGTTTCCCAGTCCTCCATCTCTGGCAGAAATGTCCGCTGGCCCTGTAGCTGACAGCTGGTGCCACACACAGATCCAGGTAATGAAATTCTCCCACATGTGGACAATCAATAACTTCAGCTTTTGCAGGCAGGAAGTGGGTGAATTCATGGAAAGTTCAACCTTTTCATCAGAAGCCAATGATCAACTGAAATGGTGTTTGAGAGTATACCCAAAAGGGCAAGATGAAGAAAGCAAAGATTACCTGTCACTTTTTCTGGTTCTGGTCAGCTCTTCAAACAGTATATCTTTGGCAAAATTCAAATTTTCTTTCCTGATTGACAAGGAAGAAAAAACATTCGAAATTATATGCATGAAGAGTTGCTATACATGTAGCTTTGCACAAGGCCAAGAATGGGGATTCAAGAAATTCATCCCTTTAGATGTTCTCTTGCATGAAGGCGACAGTTTGCTACCTGATGACAAGCTGACCCTCTTCTGTGAGGTGTCACAAGATTCCATCCCCATTTTTGGACAGAATCGCAGGAAGATGATGGAGGTTCCTGAGTGCCAGCTGGCCCATGAGCTACGAGGACTTTGGGAGAATTCCTGGTTCACAGACTGTTGCTTTTGTGTGGCTGGCCAGGAATTCCAGGCTCACAAAGCTATCTTAGCAGCTCGTTCTCCAGTGTTTAGGTCCATGTTTGGACATGTAATGCAGGAGAGCAAAACGAACCTGGTGGAAATCATTGACTTGGAGCCTGGAGTGTTTAAGGAAATGATGTGCTTCATCTACACGGGGAAGGCTCCCAACCTGGACAAGATGGCTGATGGTTTGCTGGCAGCTGCTGACAAGTATGCCCTGGAGCGTTTGAAGGTCATGTGTGAGGAAGCCCTCAGCAGTCAGCTGTCTGTGGAGAATGCTGCAGAAATGCTCACCTTGGCTGACCTCCACAGTGCAGATCAATTGAAAACTCAGGCAGTGGATTTCATCAACTCTCATGCTGAGGATGTTATGGATACTGAGGGGTTTCAAGAGAAGGTGGCATCCAATCCCAGCTTGGTGACTGAGCTGTACCGCTCTCTGGCTTCAGCACAGGGCCGCTGTCTGGGACCCCCACTCAAGTGCCTGAAACAGTCCTGAGATCTTGGCCGTTATAAGACTTCTTTGATTTTCCAGAAGCGGAACCCATAGTTGTTGAGATTGAGCACCAGATAGACAGTGAAATCTGTAGATTTTTTAGTCTATTGTGGGGGGAAGACTTCATCTCCGCCCCAGATTTTTAGTTTGATTGTTTTCCTTCTTATAGAGATCATATTTGGAAATGTAATTTATTGATTTTAGAGAAGAAGGGAAAGGGAGTGAAAGAGACCTAAGTGATAAGAGTGAATCATTGATAAGCTGATTCCTGCATGTGCCCTACTGGAAAAGAAGTGCACAACGGGGGCATGTGCCCTTACCCCCAATGGATCCTTGACCTTCTGGTTCATAAATTGACTCTCACAAACTGAGCAACACTGGTTGTGCTAAGAATATTGTCTTCCATTATTTTTTAGAGAGATTATAAGGAGGAGAGTAGAGACAGAGACTCAGAGAAAGAGAAAAGGATTCAAAGCCCAGACAGATGCATTGCAAAAGGTGGAAACTGCAACCCAGATATGCACCCTTGAGTGGAATCGAACCCGTGACCCTTCATGCCTGAGCCAGAGCTCTAAACACTGAGACAATGGTCAGGGTGAGATGAGTATCATATTGGACCATGAATGTGTAAATTTCAAAAATGTTCCAATGTGTCTCTTTAGGGATTTGCTTGTTCTGCAGATGTTGTGGTCTTCTCTTTATTAGATGTGACAACCAAAACTGCTCTTGCTGTTGTAACTTCATAATAAAGTGAATTCATTTGCAATGTGTCCACATGATTTTATTTTTGCAGTGACTCTCACTTTGCAACTAGGGGGAGCTAATATCTTGTCTTCCTACCTGGAGGTTTGATAAGCCTCTGTATGGGATGTGGTTCTCAAGGGGCTCATGTGTCTCTCCTGGATCTGAGTGTTTTCATGATTGGGGTGCTCAGACTTTTACCTCTGGGAGACATTAGTGGGAGATAGAAGTGGGAGGCACTTGGGATTGGGCTTTTGGAGTCTGTGGTGATGATTCAAAGAACAATATAGTAATATGAATCATCTATCAGCTGCCTCTTGCACACTCCCTACTGGGGATGTACCTACAACCAAGGCACATGCCCTTGACTGGAATCGAACCTGGGACTTTTCAATCCTCAGGTTGATGCTCTATCCACTTAGCCAAACTGGTTTCAGCCATGTTTCTCTTGTAGATTGTAGAATAATATCATGTAAGGATATTCATTGCTCTAGGCTAGGGGTGTCGAACTCAATCAGAGAAGGGGCCAAAATCTAAAATCCAGCCTAAATAGCGGGCCGAATGGTTTACTGAACAGTCATAAACTGTCATTGTGATGGAAACGCAGCGGAGTGCAGTGATGACAGCGCGGTGCGGGCCACATTGCAAGGCCTGGCAGGACGGATTTGGCCCATGCTCTAGGCCATGGCAATTCAATTTCAAACTGGCTGTCAATTTTGTTTTGTAGCTTTATATAAACTTTGTCAGAGAGGCAAAAACACAAAGTACTTTTTTTAGTTCAAGAAACCAAATGTATTGACTTTCAATTATAATCCTTACGATTTTTGAAGGAAACTTCTCTTTGTTTTCTCCCAAAATAATTTTCAGTCTACAGAGAGTTTCACTTAAAAATCTTTGTCACATGAAACCATTTCTCTTAACATTATGGTGACCATAGTATGGATTATATTTGGTAGTTTATTTTATTTTTTTAAATATTTTATTGATTTTTTACAGAGCTAGAAACATTAATGAGAGAGAAACATTGACTAGCTGCCTCCTGCACACCCTCTACCGGAGATGTGCCTGCAACCAACGTATATGCCCTTGACATAAATTGAACCTGGGACCCTTCAGTCCACAGACACCGACACTCTATCCACTTAGCCAAACCGGTTTAGGCTGATATTTTATTTTTTAAATAATTCTTTTTTTAATTTTTATTTTTTACGTATGTGTCCTTATTCCCCCATTACCCTCCACCACCCACTTATGCCCCACCCCCTTCTTGTCTATGTCTATTAATTAGGCTCATATGCATGCCCAGAAGTCCCTTGATTAATCTCTCGACCTTACCCCCACCCTCCCCTCTGTGACTACATCTCCACTCAGTAAAAATAATTGATAAATAATAAATGGCATAATCCAAGACTTAGATTTTTATTGTTGATTCTGGTCATGATAATGACAATTTTATAGCTTTTACTTTTGTGAAAGTAACAGGTATATACTTGGTACAATGTCACAATTATTAAAACAATTGATAATAAAAAACTGTGGATCCCCTGTTTGAGGGAAGCATGCAGGAGGCGGTGTGCAGAAGTGAAAGTCTTCCACTAGGCTTGTATGATCCACTATTTCACCCTGGATTATGGACATGAGCTGCAGCCACCAGTCAGGCCTCCTGCCTATGATCCATGGACAGTCAGGGACCAATGGCTGACAGCCACCAAGGACAGGTTCAGTCTTGAAGATGTCTTTGCAGCTAGGTCATCATTCCCTGGTTTCCTTGGGCAGCCTGTCCATGTGAATTGCTTTCTGCACAGTTTCGGCCTCCCAGGTCCCGAAATCCAAAGCTCTGGACACAGAATCAGCAGCATTCAGTGGTCCTGTAAAAAGTACAATAAAATTTGAAATGCATGCCAAGCAAACAAAAATAAAAGAAAAACATGGATCCCCTGTCTTAACATACATGTTTGACCCATCTTTGACTCTGTTCAGCAGACTAAAGTGCTTTCACCTGATCAGTTTCATTTACCTCTTACCAGGGAAGATAGGCATTCAGTTTTCTCATGTGGCTTCTTCTCTCAGCCTCCAAACACTTAACCCTCATCACATTTTCTCAGCTTATAGCTGCACTCTACTTGTGGATTAGAACACTTTTATTGTTTTCCTCCAGGTACTCATAAGCAATTTACCTCATACTCTTCATCTATTCAATCACATCAGGTGATGTGGCAGAGTTCATTATCCCCTCAGGGCCTGTTCCCTGGCTCCTCTGGGTTCTCTGGTTCTCTCTGCCTGGGGCAAAATCTTGCCTGTGAAATTTTCCTTCACAGAGAAATCTGAGGGTACTTTCACTTATCCCCTCCATTACAACTTCTGTTTTCGGATTTGTTTCCTCCTCTCTCTTGTATATGCTCTGCTTGTTTTGGAAAGCATACTTCTTTTTGAAAAAGGTGGATGAAAGCTAAAGACCATGTATGTCTGAAGATGTTATCTGTGCCACACACAATTCTATAGTTTTGCTGTGCATCAACTTTTGCTTGAAAATTTTCTACCCTCAGAAATTTGAATACATGGCTTCATTGTTTTCCAGCCTTGAGGGTTGCTGTTGAGATAATTAGGCCATTTGATCACAGTTTGATTTTCTCTGATATTTTTCAAAAGGAGATTTTTAGTATCTTCTGTTTTTATTAGAAAGTGGAAGGGGAAAGATGGAGGGAGAGAGACAAAGACAGAAAAATTTTGATGTGAGACACTGTAATTTTCAATTTATACTGAATAGTTCTCATACATATGTATTCACCAGTCACTAGGAATAAACAAATGCTCAAGGCTGGGGTATAGCTTAGTGCATGTGGGAAAATGGGCCAGCCACTTTGAAACTGCTATAGAACTCAGGCTGGTGACAACAGAACTGGTGACAACAATTAGTGTGTGGGATGTGATGTGACCACGTGTTCTTTATTCCTGGAACATTGTTTAAGAGTAGTGCCACTTGGATTAAGTATGTAGACTATAGTTGTAGACATGTAATATTTATTAGTGGTGAAATTACTACAGCATTTTTCCCAACATGTAAAATTTGTTTAAAATAACAGTGAATTAATTATAAAAAATAAGCTGTATGTTCTATTATAATTAAATCTTGTTAAATATATTTTAAAATTAATAGGATGTTAATTGATATAGGGACAGAAAATTTTATCCATTAAATCTAAAGTCAATTAGGTTGAGGTCCACAAAATGCAGGTTTTACTCTAGTGAAAACCTGGGACAGATTTTCATATTATATTAATACTAATCCTTTAATAAGTGGCTGATTGAGGTACTTAAACACTTTTCTGTATTCATTACTGACCAAAATATTCTCACTAACATTACTAGTAAATACGGCACTATATTTTATTATAAGCTATCTTATTAGATATATTTTGTTCTTTGATTTTTTTGTAGGCAATAAACAAATTCAGCAGCCATCCACTGAATCAGTGTTTAGTAAACGAATTAATTGGTGGAAAAGTTTTATGATCCACCTTTTTAAGTATCACCATGCCAGGCCCAGATTGCTGGGATGGTATTTGAACTAGCTAATTCTGCTGTGCTCCCCTTTCACTGTTCTGATTGTGCTAGTTTCAAGAAAGTTGGCTGACAAAGTCTACATTTCAATGAAACGTCCACAAGAAATGGAAACACAGTGTGTCCTGTTGTATGCTTCACATTTTCAGAATTCATTATCTGTATGTTTCTGTGAATCTCTAAAATATGCTGACCTACCTATCATTGCTGTTCTATATGATCAAATGTTTTCTTTATGTATATAAATGCATTTTTATTTCACTCTTGCTTATCTTGTAATATGCCAAATATAAGTACCTTGTAAAATACAAAGGGGAATAGCTTACTTTTTTGTTTTATTTGCTTTAGCTATAAAGCAATACCATTAGGTCTCAATTTCTCTTTCAGACTCACTCTTTTCTTCAGTGAAGAACTTTTCAGAAAATGCTTCTAAGTTCAGCAAAAAACTCGAAGTCTTGGGTAAAAACAAGTATGAGCTACATAAAGGAGTTCGGTGTTGAAATAATTTTCAAGTGTTTGCTGCTTCTGTCCCTTCACTCTAAGCATATAGGCTACCATATCTCTCAAAAAAAGACCCACTTCTGACATCCTGAGTGGCAACTGTGCTTCTGAGAAATGCTGATGCTCCTTCACTGCCAACTCGTTAGTGCCAAATCCCCAGCTGACCATGGAAGGGCCTCCACCGCCTGACCACAGCCTTCTCCAGCTTCCTCTCATGTGCTTTCAGTATCTCTCCACGACTTCAGCCAAACTCTTATTCCCAAACACACCTTCATTCTCCCTCTCCTTAAAGTCATTACCTCTGCAAAGGGTTATTTTCTTCCACTTCCACGTGGGAAAATTTTATTTATCTGGAATACCAAATATTATAAAGCCATCATTTTAGGATTAATTCTGTATAAAACACACACACACACACACACACACACACACACACACACACACACAAACACAATATTAACATAGCTTTAATATGAGGGACATAGTTTTAACAAGAAAGATTTTTTTAAGGTAGAATTTTGTGGGTAAACATTTATTTTATATTACACACCTTATGATCACACTGATATCAAATCCATGGGTATCAGTGCAAAATTACATAGAAATAGCCCTGAATCAAAAGGTTGTTGGTTTGATTCCCAATCAGGGAACATTCCTGGGTTTCAGGCTTCACCCCAGGTAGCAGGAGGCAGAAGATAAATGTCTCCCTTTTTCTCCTCCCTTTCCCTCTCTCTCTGAAAATCAATTAAATTATTTTAAAAACTACATGGAAATATAAGAGTAGAAAGTCCAAAAATTAGCTAGTAATCTATAAGGATGTATTTGTTTTTTGTTTTTTTATTAAATATATTTTATTGATTTTTTTACAGAAAGAAGGGAGAGAGAGATAGAGAGCTAGATGAGAGAGAGACATCGACCAGCTGCCTCTTGCACACCCCCTACCGGGGATGTGCCCTCAACCAATGTACATGCCCTTGACCAGAATGAACCTGGGACCTTTCAGTTTGCAGACCGACGCTCTACCACTGAGCCAAACCGGCTTTGGCTATAAGGATGTATTTGTAATGAAGGATACATATGAAATCAATGGGAAAGAAAGGCATATTCAAACATAATGTTGTATAAGTTTCTTTAGCAACTGGTAGAAAGGTGAATTCAAAGTCTCATTTCACATTGTTTCAAAACATAAGTAACAAGTGTGGAAGAACTCTTTACTAAAATTAAAAAATTTGTACAGCAAAAGAAACCATCAACAAAACAACAAGAAAGCCCACAGTGTGGGAGAACATATTTGCAAATGATACTACTGATAAAGGTTTAATCTCCAACATCTACAAACAGCTTATACAACTAAATAAAAGGAAGATAAATAATCCAATTAAAAAATGGGCAATGGACCTAAATAGAACATTTTCAAAAGAAGACAGAAGGAAGGCCAAAAGGCACATGAAAACATGCTCAAAGTCACTAATTATCCGAGAGATGTAAATCAAAACAACAATGCGGTACCATCTCACACCTGTCAGAATGGCCAACATCAACAAATCAACAAACGACAAGTGTTGGTGAGGTTGTGGAGAAAAAGGAACCCTCGTGCACTGCTGGTGGGAATGCAGACTGGTGCAACCACTGTGGAGAACAGTGTGGAGTTTCCTCAAAACACTGAAAATGGAACTCCCATTTGACCCAGTAATCCCACTTCTAGGAATTTATCCCAAGAAACTAGAAACACCAATCAGAAAGGATATATGCACCCCTATGTTCATAGCAGCACAATCTACAATAGCCAGAATTTGGAAACAGCCTAGGTGCCCGTCAGCAGATGATTAGATCCAAAAACTATGGTACATCTACACAATGGAATACTATGCTGCCATAAAAAAGAAGGAATTCTCATCATTTGCAGCAACCTGGATGGAATTGGAGAACATCATGCTGAGTGAAATAAGCCAATCAATCAAAGAGAAACACCACATGACCTCATTCATTTGTGGATAATAAAGAGCATTATAAACTGATGAACCAAAAGATAGATATAGAGACAGTATATCAACAAGTAGACTGTCAAATTACAGCGGGGAGGGGAGGAAGATCTGGGGGAGATAATAGATCAACCGAAGGACTTTTATACATGCATATAAGTACAACCAATGGACACAAAACTCTGGGGAGGGAGGGGATGTGTGGGAGGGAGGGAGGGAGGGGGGCAAAAATAAATAAATAATAAAAAATATACTCTAAGAGAAAAAAAAAAAATTTGGAAGTAAAATTTCAAGTTTAGAAGCCATAGGGAAATGACAATACAACCAGACTTGAGAACAAAGCAATGGTTAATTATATGAGAACTAATGATCAAATTCAAAGATAAAAGAGTGAAAAACCTTCTGAAGGCCCTGAGGGACAGCCTGTCTCGTCACTAAAGCCAGAGGATGGGAGAGGGGCAGCTCACATTGTCCTAAGAGTCCCTGCTCCTCCCCCTCCTCAAAGACAGGAAACCTCCTTTTCAGCGAATGTGGAAAGGGGGCAATATAATGATTATAAAAAATATGTTTTGAAAATTAATAAGAAAATCCAAAAGCTCAAAGTTGGAAATACTGCTGGACATGCCCATTGCCAAGGTAAACAAATCTAAAAGAGGATGCCACCAGTACTGACACAGATATTAATAATATTCAGATTAATTAACAATTCAAAAATACAAATGAAAACAATGTTCTATTATGTGCATTTCAAATTAGTAACTATTTTTTCAGGTATATTTTTATTGATTTCAGAGAGGAAGGGAGAGGGAGAGGGAGAGAGATAG